CATATATATATATGTATATATATAATGTATATATATATATGTATGTATGTATGTATGTATAATATCTTCATAAAATCACAACTGATTTCAAGCTGCCCATTTAGGCTAAACCTAACTGCTTATTTAAAAAATGCAAACATATTTCTGTAGTACAAAGTGTAACACTGTTTACAAGCAAATTCTAGTATTTATAGGAGTGAACAAATTCATTGAAATTTCATGATAAAAAAAGCGAGCTGAAGTGTATGCAAGGAAGGTATGAATAAATAAGAACAAATAGGAAGCAGGAGCATTTAAGTTACAGGAATTTAAACAAAAGGAAAATATTTTGTGCAGAATAACAATCATAAAAATATCGATTTATCGTATGTATTCTACTGATTAGCTCTTGTACTCAAATGAGTTTAATTGACATTCGTTTAACAGTCATTCGTAATTGTTGTTGTTCTTTCCACTCCATTACCTTTGAAAAGTAGTGGGGGTGGGGGGATTTAACTGTAAAAGAATGTTGAATAGTGGGTGGGGGACAATTAAAATGATATTCCTCCTACTTTTAAATATGGGGGACGTGCCTCCCTTGTTCCCCCCCACCGATCGACGCCCATCATCAAGGTATCTTTTGATTTCCTAAAATGGAAAAAAATAAGCAGCAAATTTTGTTGACCTCGAGAGTGGCAGCGCAACGGAAGACGAGATACTATAAGATAGGGAACTCCCCATTCATGTCGTGTCAGCAGCTGCACATGGTCATATTATTTAGTTTTCTGTTAATTCACAAACTATTCCATTCGAAAAGCATCTAACATCTTTTTATGAGCTGTATAGAGTTTTGGATGAATGAAGTAAATAACCACTTGAATGATTATAATTTTCTATTTTTATATTTCAATATATATTTTTTATTTTTAATTCTGGTTATTTTAAGCTGGTTTATTTTACTTTAAGCTTGCACATTTTGATAGTTTCATCATTTTACTTTCTTTGTATTTGCATTAGACATTATGTTTATAATGATATCCAGCAGGTTTCACTGGCGATGTTAAAACCAAGAGCCCTCACTGGTCGCAATCATCCACTAACGTGTAAAGATCATAGCAAAGAACAATTTTCAAATTTACTAGATTCGATACAAGCAAGGGCGTCGATCCGTGCGGGGGGGGGGGGGGGGGGGGGGGGGGGGGGAGGAGATAAATTGGAATGCCTTGGGCAGCATTTTTAAGCTTTGGTTGGGGGCCCGGAAGGCGAAACGTTGTCTAGGTGTTGTGACTATGTGTTTAGGTGATCAGGCCCGTATCCAGCTTTTTGAATGGGGAAGGGCGGGGTGCGTTTTGCGAGCGCAGCGAGCAACCAGGCTGGGGCCAGGGGGCCCAGGGCCCCCGGTCGAGGTCCAGGGGCCGAAGGCCCCGGAAAAATTTGCTTTCTTACGCCCTAGTAGACTAATTTGAAGGCATTTTAACATGTTAATCTCTATATGTCCGTGAACACAGCGACAGGGCCTATCAAAAAATTACCAGTGAAAGACATGGAGAAACAAGCAAATTGTTTCCCAAATGAAAAATACTACTGTATAAATTCGTAACCATTACGAATAAAAATTCAAAATCAATTCTGCTTTTAAATGAATAATAGCAACGTTTGATATAAAGAGTGGATTAAAAGCGACTGTAAATGAGCTGATTCAAACAACTAGAAGCATTTGAAACAAATTAATCAACATTTTTATTCTTGGCATCGACAGAAAACATATACAGAGGTATAAGC